GTGACGTCAACAAGCTGGCAGCAAATTATGTCATTTTGTTGTGGGTTTTCATATATTTTAGTCCAAATAAATTGATCTGTTGAGGTTTATTTGTGTTATTATGATTTTATTTGAATTTATTTAGTAATTTTAAACTTATGTAAGTATTATTTTATAATGTTGAATATGAACAATGCGCATGCGCAAGTTTTTCTTTCAACGAATCAGCGACATTCAAGAACTTGGATAGTGTCAACGAATCATCCAATTTCTTGGACAGAGAAATCCGTCCAATTTCTCGGATTCAAGAAATTGGACCGTGTAAACAGGCCTTAAGTAGTATTTCAGAAGTTTATTTTGTTTATAGTTGCGCATTTAAAACGTGTTTCTAAAGAACAAAATAATTTAAAATCAACAGTAATTGAAATGGAGAAAAACAAGATGCGTACTAAAAAGAGAAACTAATGGGAAAAAAAAGGTGTTGATTTATTTAAAGGAACTCTGAAAATCTGCCATACTGTTGACATCAATGATGCTTGTTGAAATATGTAAATATTTTAACCTATAGCATTAATTGTGGCAATATATAATTTTCAGTGCATTGTCTCTTAGCGCTGATCAGAATTGTTTAGTCATTAGTTACAATCTCTGAATAAAAAAGTTACAACCTCCGAATTCAATTAAAATGTCCACCCTATCCAAGAAAAGAAAAAATATTAACTTTATTATCTTTTATCGTATTTTTTGCAATGTACGTACGGAAGCTAAAAGTGGGAAATCTCCCTATTATCTGGAAAATTAACTGATACTATATCAAACCAATTTTCATATGTTACACTCAATATTTCACTTCTTACATTTTTATACAGAACCACAGAAAATATGTTATTTTTTTATTTTCTTATGTTGTTTCATTAATGATTATATTTTTCTTTCAGCAAAGCGAGAATTCCAGTGGAAATTAAAATTGATGAACCTAAAATTCTAGTTTATGCTCACACGCCCAAATACTTGGTAAGTACCACGTATGTCTTCAGCTTTAGTGCGACGTAAATTAAGTACCTGCTTACGTTTTTCAATTGTCGAAAATTATTTAACAAATTTCATTTAAATTTTGAATTTTATCATTTAAAACCTGTTTTAAAATTATGTAAA